AAAGATGAAAACAAAAAGGACCCTTCTACCTAGAATCAGAAAGAGATAGTTGAAATTTCTGGGACTTAGTGAAGAAAGGGGGCTTGGAGTATTTGCCACTCACAAGGAGTATTGAAAGCAAGAGAGGCAGAGAAAAGCATTGAGCAACCTGCTAAATGAGAGTGTAAATGGATGGCAGAACAGAAACTGAGAAAGAGACAAACAATTCTTAAGAGTTTTGAAGTATAGGAAGTTGTGGAGAGCCATCTCCACTCACGTCCTGAAGGGACACAGCGCAAAAGAATTTGATAAGCCCCAGATATAATACCATGTTGAAATTATGCATTTATTTTTCATCACATTTTTATATTATTTTTTTTTTTTTAAATCTTTCAAATTCTTTGGTTTATGGCCATATCACGTTGAAACACTGCTTCCTATATAATCATCAATGTTAAATAACGCCAAACCTAGTTAGTAACTAGATTGGTGACCACTTGCGAATACCACTGCTGTAAACTTGGATGTGCTGGTGGTGTAATGGATAACGGCTCTAAATTGTTACTTAGAGAGCTGAATTTCAATTCCAGTTGGATTCACTATATTCACTTACACGTAAATATCTAGGGGAAAGGTATGAATCCACCTCTTCTCCCCCCATCTATAGGTTAATTAGCAAGACTTGCATCATTATATCCCCCACCAAAAAGAACAAAAAATTCTAATATCTAAAATTACAATCTAAAATTATTTTCTGGCTTTAAATAACCTGCAAAAGGGTTGATAATTCATAGAAAATAAATGAATCAATCCAAGTCCTTTTATGATTTGAATGACCATGGCTCGCCCAAAGTTCCTGTCTTTTGTTGTTCTAATTTAAGTAATTTTTGACCCATTACTATTTGTCCTTGTTCTGCCATCCACTCACACAAACTCATTAAGTAGGTTACTGTTTCTCCTTTTGTCTTAATGTCATGTGAATATTAAATTCTCCAAGCCCTCTTTCCTCATTATGTGTCTCAGATATTTCAGTTGTTGTTCCAGTTTTTCTTAAGACTTCTTCATTAGTCACATGTTCTGTCTATGTTATTCTTAGCATTTGATGGTAGAACCATATCTTTTTTTATTCAAGCCTCGTCTTCATGGGTGAGGATATTGTCCAGTATTTGCAGCCAGATAGAACATTAGACATTACAGTTCAGCATTGCTTTGTGTTTTTAATGATATTTTCATGTCTTAATTCAGTAATATTTTATTATTTTTATTCGCTTGAGCTAGCTCAGACATTTACAAGTCCATCGTGGGCCTGCATCAAGGCTTGAAGGTCATTAGGATAACATTATGTGCCCTAATGTAGTTGGTCAATGTAGGTGATCGCTGGGCAAGCAACGCGTCTTGCTAGGTGTCCAGAACAGTAGATTACTTGCAAGTACTTGTTTTGCTTGTCAGCCATGTCCTGTGAAGTACATTCTGCGTTACGCAAGATTGTAGAAATATCAGGGATTGGTCCATGGAGCAGTTTTTTAGATGGCTTTTGTAACCAAGAGATATTAAATATAACTCTCAGCATCCAAGTGCAGGTTCCATCAAGCTCTTAGACTCTAAGGTTAATTTCAGTTAAGGTCTGAGTAGCAGCAACATACATTAACACCACATTTACAGTTGCACAAAAGAATCTCCGCTTGAGGTTGTCTGGTCGATATTTCCAGATTATATCCATTTTATTCAAGGTGGCCCAGGCTTTAGCTATGCAGATTTTTATCTATCTTAGATTTTGTAAAAAATTCAACGGATTTTATTGATTCACTTGAGATAATTTGTATTGAGTTCATTACTTCCTGAATTATCTAAACATTTTCAGGTGTTGAAAAAATATACTCAGATGATTCAAAATTCAGTATAATGCCTAAATCATTAAAAAAAAAAGAAAAAAGAAAGAAGCCATTTTCTGAAAATGATTTACCATCTATATAACATTTTCAAATATTTTGTTGAAGGTTTTGTCCAGTTTATTTTTTTGTCCAGCTGACCACACGTTTTTTTTGTTGCTAACTCTCAAAGCTGGATTAAAGTCAATGTATTTGCAAGGGTAGCTTCTGGTTGGAAGCGTGATCAAACACAATAGTTGTTTTAGAGTTTGAAATTGAACATTGGGGAAGTTGAGCAATATCGTCATCCTCCTTCACCCTTTCAATATTTTCTGGCATGGTTATAAATTCAACAATCCCCTGATCACTCTGATAATTCAAACTTATCTTCTTTCTATGAAAACAATGAAGAAATTAACAATAATTAATTGAACTGTGTTTATCAGAGTTTTTATCAAATGTTGTGTAGTTTTATAAATATACAAAATGCTTGTGCAAGATGAAATATTAGAATCGTTTTAGTTCGGATAATTGAATGATTTCAGTTTTTCCATTCATTTCATGTCCAGATAATTGAATTCCATAAAACTGAGATATAAATAATGGAAATACTATACTTTACTTACTTTCTGGGAGACATTATTCTTAAATGACTTCAGATTTCTGTGTCCCATTTCCTTTTGGTTTTATTTATATAAGAGATAGTCATGCATTTAGGATGCTATTTTTTGCTTTTATCTGATGCAGGATTTTTCAATCTTTTGCAGGACTCAGAACATGAAGCAAGTGAAAACAAATGTAAGACTTTAGCGTATGGTGGATGTAAATTGTTTAAGAGTTAAAAAAACAACAATAATCATATTTTCTATTCAAATATCTGAGATGAAGAATTATCATTATTTACTAATGTCCTCATCGTTGTTGTTATGATCACAAAATTTCGGCCATTGTGCCCTCTGACATTTTCAGGTGCCTACCAATTTAGGTAACCTTTAAAAAATTTAAAACTCCTTTTTTTTTTATTTAATCTACGGGTGTAGATTTTTGGTGTTGCTTTAGCATGTCCTATTGATCAGTGTATCCTGCCACCACATTTGTATCCTACATTATCTAACATAAGGGGGAAAAGAAAAAACGGAAGGAGGTATGCCATGTATTGTTGTATTATAAAATTTGAAATAAAAAAATTATAAAATAATAAATTTGACTAAAAAAAAATAATCATAAAACAAGATATTTGAATCATTCAAATAAAAACATTCTGAATGTTTTTTTAACATATCGAGAAAAAAGTTGGGACAATGCCTTAATACTGTAGGATACAAATGTGGTGGGAGTTTGGGGCCTTATGATTATTACAAAAATAGCAATAAAAATTGTGGAAAGTCCATCTTTTAGGAGTGTACTGACAATCTTATTTGGGTCCTGGGTACAGCTTGGCTGCCTGTCAGGAATCTGTGAAAATGCTTGGATGTTTTTTTTTAATTATCCGGTAAATGGATAAACTTTTGCACAGTAATCTAGTCCTGTAAGGGTGGCTGTGCTGTACCCAGGACCCAAGTGAGTTTGCAGTAGATTTCTGAAAATTTTTAAGGTTATTTTTGGAATAATCATCATACTTTTTTAAGGCTATTTTCAATTAATAATTTGAATCAATTTTAAGGCTATTTTTTTGGAATAATCATTGTACCTCCACTTTTATACTGAAAAAGGCCCCAAACTTAATAAAAACTAAGTGTTAAAGTCAAAATATTTATGTTATTATTAAATGGAAAGATTAAATGCTAGCCAGACTGTAGCCGAGATACAAATCAGACCCAATTAAGATTTTCAATATCTTATAAATGATAAACTGTACGTTTCCACAAATTTTTAAGACTGTTTTTGGAATATTCAGGCTCATTTTTTTTAAACACCAGAAATGATGCTGCTTTTTTAAATTGGTTTCTGGGTCCTAATCTGCAATTTTACCAAATTATTTATATATATGAAATGTATGTGTGTATATATATATATATATATATATATGCAATTTTTTTTATATGTGTGGTACTTATTGAAAAGCGCTCAATATCAATGATTGAGCTAACATATTTAGTTGGATTGATGTGAGTTTGTGACCCTGGGTTTCACGCTATTTGCGATCCAGCAATACAAAGAAAAACAGATTGTTTTAATTATTTAATTGCCAGTCTTGTCATGGACAATGTCAGAGGTGTTTTTATTTACAGTTACACTATTTACGTTTTGTTCGGACTGTTGTCCTCATTCATCTTTGTCACATTCACAACGTTCGTCTTGAGGTAATATTTGAATTTCTAAATGAACCCGGGATAATGGTTGGCGTTTCAGAAGATTTTGGGTTCGGTTACAAATTCAAATATCACCTGAAGAAGACCGGAGCGTAGAACGGCCGAAACGTTGTGAATCTGACAATGAAAAATCAGGACTATAGTCCGAACAATGTCGATCAAGAATCTTTTTAAAAAATTTATTACAAGTTTAAAAATTAATTTTTTTTTTTTTATTATTTACAAAATTGAAATAAAGGTGAAAGACTAAAAGAGAAATCTTATTAAAAGAAAATGTAGTTTTTTAATTAATTTATGAAATGAATGTTTTATAAATCTGGAAAAAAGTTTTCCTTTTTTTGCTCTATTTTTTTTAGTTTTTCATAATTTTAAAAACAATTCCCAACAAATTTATAATCGCTTGTAGTACACATCAGACTAAAAAATAACGAAGCTACCTCTAAGAATAAATATCAATTTACAATAAATTCTATTTTTCGTCATTTTATTAACTATTTTTAAAACGTCTTGTTTAGAAAGGAAGTGAGATTAAAAACAAAAATGCTACACAGACAATATACAACTAATGATGGAATTAAAAGGTCACTACATCAATCTATTGCAGATACTTATCCATATTTATCGTCAGATAACAAGAAAAGATTTTAAAAATAACAATTTTATTCCATTAAGAAAAGAATAATAATCCCAATTCCTTGTTTCAATCAAGATTCAAGTAGGGGAAAACATTAACTAAAGGTAAAAAAACATCGATAAAAATTACACCAACAATGCGAACTGACATAGAGTACATATTTTAACATATATAATAATAATTATGATAAAGAAAATAAATATTTACCTGCTTGGCATTTTTGTATTAGAATAAAAAAAAGATTTTGCAACTTTCAAATCAAAAGCATCCACTAGAGAGGGAAGCCATTTTGAAATTCGAACAAGATCAACAATACCAATTACCAGAAATAATTACAACAATTTTTTCACGATTTAAAAAAGAAAATATGATAAAGGTATTTTTTAGAGATCTTTAATGCATAATTTTTATTCAATATTCTTAAAGAAAGGTTTTGACTAAAGTAAATAAGTGTCGTTATTATTGTTACTACTTTCCGGCCATGCGCATGCGTATCTTCACTTCCTTTACGTCGCACGTGTTTTGAATCGGCGACATCAAACCCGGGAAAGTAAGTTTTCGTATTTATTTTTTTTTATAATTATTTTCTTTATGCTTTAAAAAAAAACTATATTTACGTATATCATTATTAATTAATCTATTTATACTTTATGGAAGCGAATTTCATAATCGTTTCTTTTCTTCTCTAAAATGGACTAATTTTTATTCTTCCACGTGGGAACTTGAATTCAACACGTTAACAAAATGTCCGTTTTCCTTTATTTTTATTTATTTCATTTGAAACACGCGATCTGTATTGTTGTTTTCGTACCCCATAAAGGCAATGGCTTTCTAGTTTTCTTCAGATATGGTTTTTGCTTGCTTATTGTCTTTACACGACTGTTATTTTTCTTTGAGCGAGAGAAAATAGCTGGCAAATTCTCTCTCTGGCCAGGTCATATACTAGGAAAGGAGTTCGTCTAAGTAAGTGAATTAGAATTTCGTTTGAACTTTTTACAACCAAGGGAAAATAAGACAAACTAAAATAAATTTAGGCACAGGGAAATATTTTTCTGATAAACATGCGAACCTGAATGACATTCAAACAGAAGCATTTATCTAACCATTAGACGAACGACTTTTTCGGGTATAACCATATCTTTTAAATCTGACACAAGGTCATAATAATAGTGGGAGCTCCCAGAGTGAATGGAATCCAATTCACTCGCAATGTCTTTATGAAATTATACATTTTCAGTAATAACGTTAGTTTTTTCCATTTTTTTTTTTTTTTATGAAACTGAAATTCGTGTTATGTTGTAATTAATTTTGAAGGGAATGTTTTTTAAGTTAAAGATCAAACCGGCATAACACCTTAATTTTTTATGAAAGCTTGAAAAATTCATTGGGATAAATTTTTAATGACTATAATTAGTTAAAAGCAGAATTTATTGAAGAATATTTTTGCAAAATCAGATCCGTTTTTACCGAAAATCTGTTCTGAATCGAAAAAAAAAACATTATTTAAAAATTAAAATTAACTGGAAAAGTTTTCAATTGATTGAATGAAATTCTGATGAAAAATGAATTTTTACAAGATTTATTTTTATTTTTTACAATTTAAAATTGAATAATTTATAAAGCTTTTGAATCTCTTAAAGTTCAATTTCGATGAGATAATTCTTGAGGAATATTGTTATTAAGTAAAAAGAACTATATACTTATTCATTTGTAAAAGTAAAATTTATTACAATCTGAGGACCCTGAATATTTTTAAAATAATTTCGATTTGTTTTTATATATGTATATAAGCAATAAAACTGACATTAAAAGCTTTTATAAAATCTTTTGATAAATAATTAATTTTTACAAGAATTGTTTTCATTTTTTTTTTTTTTTTAATTTTACTTATAATAATTTATATATAAATCTTTTAAAATTCTGCATTACTTCAATTACGTTAGATGATATTGTTATTAGAGTAATGGATAGTGGCTCGGATTGAGGAATCAGTGCCGAGTTTGAATTCCAGTCGAATCCATTATATTCACTTATGTGTTAATACCCTTTCCCCCCAGCTATGGGTAAATAGCAGGACAGACCGCGACTGGTCTATTGCAGAAAGAAATGGCAACCTACTGTGGGGGAAGAAAACCTGCTTTGTCAGTCATGTATCGAAAGATACATGATTGCCTAAGCGTGTATCATGCATAGCACATAACTGACTGATATTGTTATTAAGTGAAAACTATATTTACTAATCAAGAATTGAAAAGCTTCTTAATACAACTCATCACACACCAAGATTTTTTAAATAATTTAAAAAATTTTTATGGATATAAAATATTATGCAATGTGCCCATTTTACATCATTATCAGAAAATAAGAGTGATGACTATAGTAAATTTAAAGTCAACATTCCTAAAATTAGATTATGGAGAATATTTTTCACCATTTTTAAGATTACCAACTACTTAAAAATTGTAGAAAAAAAAGTTCTTAAATTATGTTCTACAGATAAAACCTCCGTAGAACAACAGTTATGTTATCACCTGTTAACACTCGTCAATCATGTAAAACATGGCTACTGTCAGTTAAAAACACAGTTATTGTTTGTTTTAAAAATCCATTTTTATGTTATTTTAAACTTACAGTAAATAATATTTGTTTAAAATCAGATTAATTATACTTTAAATCATAATATTCCTCAAACAAAGTTTCAGAAAAGTAGATTTTATTTTTTGAAGATGTTTTTAATACAGATAATTACATTGCGATGAAAGACACCTAAAAATTGGTGCTAATCAACTATTTTAGGAAGAAAAAAAATTTGATTCAGCCCAATAAAATTTCTGTTTGAAATACTCCAGAGTATTTTGCTTACTGGAAATAGTAAATTTAATCTTTTAGTTTTCTATTAAAGCTAAAGGGGAAGCTTGAAGAAAGCTTCTTCATTTTTAAAAATTAATTTTAAACCTTAGGTATCACAAATTAGTGGAGGTACCTAGTTTTAATGGTATAAAGGTTAGGGAATTCTAAAATGTAAAGCTTATTACAATTTACAGATCCTGTGAATTTTAAAAATAATGTTGAATTGTTTTTGTAAGTGTAGAAATGTGCTGATATTTGTAGATACAGGATGTTCAATTGTTCATACATGACATTATTTGAAAATAAGAGTGATAACTATAGTAAATTTAAAGCCAAAGTATCTAAAATTAAATAAAACATTAGAGAATATTTTCTTAAATTAAGTACTTATATATAAAAGGCACACATTATTTTTCAGTTATTTTTTACAGATAAAGCAACACTAGATAAATATCAACAATTATTTTTTTATGTATAGGACAATATTAGATAAATATCAATCTGTCATCACATCAACAGATTAAATAAATAGAATACGTTTCTGCGACATTTTAAACTTAAGTAAAAATATTTGTCTCAAATCAATTATACCTTAAATCAGTTAATATTCCTAAAAAGAAGTTTCAGAAAAGTATATTTTATTTTTAGAAGATTTTTTAATAAAGAGAATTATTTCTGGTAGCAGGTTGCTAAAAATGGCGCTAAAATCAAACATTTCAGCAATTTCAAAACAAAATTCCTTCCAATGGATTTAAATTAAGTTTCGAAATACAACAAAGTATTTTGCTTATTGGAAATATCAAATTTTTCATGAGGCTTACGCGTCATATAGCATTAAATATTTTTTTGGTGAAATAATATCTTTAGAGGTTTTCCATTTTTATAAAATTGTAAAAAGAAAATAGACAACTCGAATTAAAAAGTCCACATGAAATATTGGAAAGGAGGTGGGTGGGTGTGAAACATCCCCCCCTCCCAATAACTAAAATATTCATTCATTAATGAATAGGTACTGATATTTTTGTTTGAATTGGAGGAAATATCTAATATATATATATATATATATATATATATATCAAAATAATTTAATTCATTTATGAATAAGTCTTGAAAGTATCATTTAAAGAATTTCCAAATATGTGGGTGTCTATTGTGTTGAATGTTTTTCCTACAGGGGATGTGTGCTTAGTATATGCAATCTAAGGGAGGTAATTCAGTATTTGTATGAAGTAATTCATTGTGAATGTGAAACAAAATGGCACCTAAATCTAAAGTATATGAAAACATTTGTCTTTCTAGTTTTGTTTAGTCTCCACGTAATAATTTTGTTCAACTTGGGTGAATCATTCATCATGGTTCTTGGATGCTTCATTATTGTAGCCAAACTAGGGTCAATTTTTACACAGTTGATTCAGTTGCATTTCTTATAGTTTTCGTTCATGAGGATGAAGAGATTTAGAAACTGTCCATAATGATTGTTTCAAGTGTTTTTGGTTAAATCATTAGGCTTAATTTTTATTTGTTTATTGCTCTCTCTACTTAATAGTAATTTTTCTCATATTCTCTAACACTCAGTAACTCCTTGCATCCTAGTGGCTTTATTGCCTTTGATCTTAAAAAATGTAAATGCAATGTCAATTATCTTCTATCTTCTTAATTTTATTCTTTTATTGTATTCTTGCCTTAATAGTATTTTTTTTCTCATATTCTCTGAAGCTCAGTAACCCCTTGCCTTGCTTGGGGTGAAATGATTAAAAAAAAAAATTAATTGGTGATCTGAAGTTTGAATTTCATAGTTATGTTGTTATTGGTAATTAAGAGGCGTGCAGTTTTTCTCTATAGTAAAAACTGTAAGAACACAAGAAAAAACAAATAAAAAAGAATTATAAAACTTTCCTTGTCTGTTACATTTGAAACCTGTATAAAAGAAAGGTTGCTGCCCAATATGCAACAAAAGCAAACATATATCAGTCTTTAGATCTTATGATGCAGGATTGTGACTAAATATTTGAACAATGAAATGTATTTTCAAATTAATCTCTAATAAAATTCCAGATTTTTATATATGTTTCTTTTCTTTACAGTAAAATGGGATTTGGAAATGCAAACCGTGGTTCACGTGGTGGAGGCCGTGGAGGATTCGGTGGTCGGGGAGGTTTTGGTGGGCGTGGTGGACGAGGTAGAAACTGATTTTATTTTTTGGTCTTTTATTATTTTTGACTTATTTTTTTTTTTTTTTTTTTTTTTTTTTTTAAGTATAAATGCTATTTCCAAGTATTTTCCAGTTGTAATTTAAGTGCTTTTTTTTTAATTTAGTACTTTTTTTAGTGTCTGTTTGACTGAAATTGGTTCCCACTATGCTGAATAC